ACCACATGGGTTTTAACTGGCAAGTGCCACCAGCCCCGATGCAAAGCATCCCCCAAACTGACAGGGGTCGGGTGGGACCTTTTGCTTCATAGTTGTTAGTTTTGAGCTAGAGTCCTTTTATCCCTTCCCTCCCTTTGCAGGGAGGGACACGCTGCCAGTGGACTACAGCTGGGAAGACCCAGACCAGCCCGGTGGGGAGGGTTTGAATGCCTGCAAACAGGGATGTTCCCATATTTGCCCTTCCATAAACTAGAAGGTGCTACTGCAACCTGCTCAGTTCAACAGACTGGAGGATGGAGACATTTAATGTAACTTTTCTTCCTACATGTTCTCACCGTAACATTTGCCTCCATCGGAGTGACCAAGGGAAAATCAGAATCAACCAGTGAATGGTTTGTGTTGGAAGGGACCTTAAAGCTCCTCCAGCTCCAACCCGTACCACAGGCAGGGACCCCTTCCACTGGAGCAGCTTGCTCCAAGCCCCTGTGTCCAACCTGGCCTTGAGCACTGCCAGGGATGGGGCAGCCACAGCTTCTCTGGGCACCCTGTGCCAGTGCCTCAGCACTCTTGTGCTGAACAGTCAAACCATCTCCTCTTGCACTCATGGTTTCCACACCAACACCAAGGCCTCTCAGTTATGCAGCAGGTTCCAGCAGGTCTGTAAAAATCCCCCTTGCATCCCAGAGGACACAGCTGGAGATGCTCCTGCAAGACAAAGCCTCTTTGCAAGCCCAAGCTTGGTCATGGGCTACTGTCAAACAATGCATTGGAAAACACAGGTCCTAGTTTCGTGTTATGGCCCTAATGGATCTCTGGGATGGTTTTGCCTCCCATGCCCAGATTTAGGTTAATTGTACCAAACCTGCTATTGGCTTTCTCAAATAAAACCCAAACTTTTCTACCAGGTCATTTCCTTGCTGAACCCCACCCTGAGCACATTTAAACACACCATCTACTGACACCATACCACCAAAACAGAATAAAGCCATGTTCCCCTAATCAGGAAAAAGACTTCTTAATGTGCCATTGGGTTCCTCTGCTCCCAGCACTACCTGTTCAGCACAATGAAAAAGTAAGACCCGGAGACAACCATTGCCAAAATGACTCATGAAAGTTTTGGCCATTTGGGATGTGCCCAGTTATCCATGGAAGTTCCCAGAGGACCCCACTTCCAGAAACGTGCAAAAAGCCAGCTATTTCCCCTCTGAGAGAGCTTATCTCCAGCAAACATGAGATTTGGGCTCTGAAGGAACACAGGTACTATCTCCTAAGGAAGAAGAAATGACCTTCTCCCATGCAACCATGGCTGCTCCCATTAGCCACAGCGCTGTCTTATCTTTCTGAACATCACAGAGCTTCTGGCTGGAGTGATACATTGCAGCAGTGATTTCAAAACTTAATTAGGCTGCATAAAATACCTTCAGTACATTGGAGATGCAAGAGATGGATTAAACAAGGAGATAAACTTGTTCCTGTGCGCGGATGTTTACCTTAACAACACATCCAATGTTTTCTGAGTACTGCAGAGTTATTTTACAATGCAAGAGAACATCTAATTACCTCTTATATCTACAGACACACATGCAGAGACCTTTCCAGCATGTTGTGCGACCTTTCCCACAGATGTTTGGGTCCTAGAGCTAGTGCTGATGTGCATTACAGCTCTGCTTCAGGTTATATGCCCCATCCCTGGCAGTGTTCAAGGCCAGGTTGGACACAGGGCTTGGAGCAAGCTGCTCCAGTGGAAGGGGTCCCTGCCCGTGGCAGGGTTGGAGCTGGAGGAGCTTTAAGGTCCCTTCCAACCCAAACCAGGCTGGGATTTTATTCAATGATTCCATTTTTCTCACTTCAAACCTGGGAGGGTTTTAGTCCCCATCCCCAACACCTACTTCCCACTTGTATAAGTAAAGCCAGACATGGCAAAGCATCCCTAATGTGGATGGTGAACAACAGCAATACTTGTGCACACTGCATCCCACCACGCTATGGAGGACCATCCACTTCTGGTGGTTGAGACACCATGAGGCATGGGTTCAGCAAGGACTGGTTTCCTGAGACAGCATCCACGCTTAGGTATCATTGCAATTTTTAAGCATACAGTGAAAAATATGCACCAGGAAAGAGAGGAAAAAAATCCATATTGGGTTGAGAAGAAACTAGTACAAATTGCAAAACCTGCATGGTTCCCAAAGAGCTAAATTCTTGCATTTCCAAAGAGGAGGATCTGAAAACATCAACCAAGCCAGGCTCATCCCACTGGCCATGGGTAATGCTGATGGCCTCATGCTCTGCACTCATGGGTACCAGCACATGCTCCACCCTCAGCTTCCAATATTTTGGTGAGACAAGAGATTTAAATAATTATAACACTAATAAAACCCCTTTAATATGTTTAACACCCCATATAAAGAGAAAACTGGGGCTGTTCAGCCTGGAGAAGAGAAGGCTTCTGAAGGGGAGACCTTAGAGCAGCTCCAGTGCCTAAAGGGGCTGCAGGAAAGCTGGAGAGGGGCTTGGGACAAGGGCCTGTAGGGACAGGCCAAGGGGAATGGCTTGAACCTGCCCGAGGGGAGACTGAGCTGAGCTCTTAGGCAGAAGCTCTTCCCTGTGAGGGTGCTGAGGCGCTGGCACAGGGTGCCCAGAGAAGCTGTGGCTGCCCCATCCCTGGCAGTGCTCAAGGCCAGGTTGGACACAGGGGCTTGGAGCAAGCTGCTCCAGTGGAAGGGGTCCCTGCCTGTGGCAGGGGTTGGAGCTGGGTGAGCTTTAAGCTCCCTTCCAACACAAACCAGGCTGGGATTCTGTGTTTACTGCAGGGAATCACAGATACTCTGTGCAGGTTTACAAGTTTCAGATAAATCTAAGCGCATTCAAAAGCATGCTTATCTTAAAATAAAAACACATAAATGAACACCTCATCAAGATGTCAGTGTTCCAGTTCACAAAATTCTCACTCTCCCACAAATAGAACCAGTTTCCAACCAGTTAAAAACTCATCAAGAGCAGTAATTATTTCTTCTCCTTTTCTTGCTATCATTCTAGGGTCCTGCACCATTGGGTAGCTGGGGAGCAACGTGTTATGCAGCCTCATAAGTTGCAGATAATGGGGAGATTTTGGAAACAGTAAGTAAAAGCTACCCATAACAATTTTCTTTCTTAATGGCTGGTTCATAAAAGGTGATTCCATGTTCCCCATAGACCAATGAACCTGCTGCCCCAGACCTGGCCAGCATCCCCAGTGCCTTGGGGTAGTCAAGGCTCCTGCACAGAAGCAACCCTTGGGCATGTCCCAGGCAAGGCAAAAATCCCCCAGGAAAAACAATCCACACCAATAAAAACCTCCAAAACACACAAACCCCCCCAAAAGACCCCAAGCACCCGCCCGTCTTCCCCCCATCCAGCCTCTACACTAGTTAAATAACAAACTGAGAACTGCAGGAGGCCAACTTCAATTTATCCCCATTAATTCCTCCACAAACGTAGGCACTTTTGGGAGAAACCATGTTTTTAATGATAGCTTCTCTAAAATGACCTGTTCCTGCATGGCCTGGGTGCCTGGTTCCCAGTCATGTATGTCAGCACGGTGTAATGGGTTCGATGTCATAGCTCAAAATGAAAGTCTCTTTTGATCGTGACTATCATCAGTATTAAAGGAGACATTGACATGAGGCATTTCCTCCCATCAAAGAGCAACACCACTCATTTTCTTAATGCCAAGACATAGAAAAAATAGCAGGAAGCAATTCCTGTGAGCTCACACATGGCCATTACAGCACCCGAATTCCCAAGGTTAGGCAAATAATTCAAGTCAATAGGAGAAGCCTTGATTACACAGCTCTTGATGCCTTCCTAGGTTAATGTGGAGCGGGTGGCAGAGCACGATTTGCAGGACACACCAAGAGGAAGCCCAATTTCTGCCTGTCATCTCGGGAAGGCCGGCAATGCCGGTTAGCATGCCGGCAGCGCCGCGAGCACAGTGCTGGATGCGGCTCCATGCAGCCCTCCCCAGGCTGGGCCCTGCTGCCTCGGCCAATGGGCCAGGAAACACAAATCCAAGGGGATATTTTGACATCCTCAGGTCTCTCCAATAGATCATTTTTATTTATCAGGAATAAAAGAGAAATCTATTCCCTCGAGTATCCATTCTGCTCAAAATACAAATTCAGTTCTTCCTTTCCCTGCATCTGACCCCAGCAGGCATTAAAAAATTAAATAGAATTAAAAAGAGCTTTACATACAGTCGAGACAAATGACATAGGTTAAAATCTCTTTAATGCCCAAAGGCTTTTCCCACACACCATCAGACACAGTCTCACAACACTCTTCTGCTCGGAGCCCATATTTCCTTCTCATTTATTCCAATAAGCCACAATCCAACACCCCCCCACCAGAGCCTGCGCCTTCAAACCAGTGACACAACATGGCAAAAATGACCCTAAGTTCAAATATCCTTGTTTCCTGCTGGAAAGATGCTCCTCCATGCACTGTAAAGCCACCAAATCCCATCGAGCATCGCCAGGCTTCACAGCCCCGGTCTGTGCATGCAGCTAACACTTAAATTCACCCGCTGTGCATCACATCAGGTGGAAAAAGTGGGTTTCCAAGCAGAGGATAAAATAATGCCTAAAGGATCCTAATTCCAATCAACCCATCCGGTTGGGGTTCATCTCCCTGCCCAGGCTGCTGCCTGGAACTGGCAGCTCCCATGGATAGCCGGGTGTTTGCCTACCCTGAGCTGCCTACACAGGGCTGGGGAGGGAACTGCAAATAATCTGATGGGCTTGATATTATATCACCATCCGCCAGCTTGCCGGCAGTGGGCAGGGTGCTTCGGTTCGACTGGGATTAGGGGGAGGGGAGGATTTCATTTTATTATCATTATCATTATTTTGGGGGTTTTTAATAGGAAAAGGATTCACACGCTCGGGTTCAGCGCATCTTCCTTCCCCCTCGGCTTTGAAAACTCCAGTGATCCCGAAAGACATGCTCAGATCATCACCTACCTTCCATCATGGTGGCAGAATTTCATTCCTCAATTTCCAAGGAGCCTGGAAAAATACAGGAGAATACAATCCCGGTTACCAGATGCTGAACGGGAGCCCTTCCACCAACCGCCTCCGATCCCGCTCAGCTGCCGGAATAACGCGGAGGGGAAAAACCCGAGCGCGGAGGCTAGGGGCAGGCCATGGATGCTGCTGTGCCTGTATCACCTCCAGGAGCACCGGAGGATGCTGAGAGAGAGAAAGGGAGGACGAGCCGGGCTCCGGCGCAGCCAGTCCCTCCCGCCCCGCACCTCCTCACATGCGCGCTCGCTCCCGCCACCCCCCCCGGGAACACACCAACCTATTTCCCATTTTTTTCCCCTTTCCCCCCCTTCCTTTCCACTTTCACCAAAAGCATAACCCCTCTCCGTACCTCGTGACGCACTTCCCCTCCCTCTAATCCTATTGCAGCGGCGGGGGGAGCCGGATTAATTACCAGGCGCTGTCAGATTAGGGAGCAGGGCTGGCAACGAGGGGGGGAAAGAGAGATCCAGGCTGGAGGAGGCAGCGGAGCTCGCTCCGGGCCCGGCTCCCGCAGCCGTTCAAGAGGGAAACGCATGGGGCTGACGTCACACCGCCTGCAATTAGCCCCCAAAGGATGATGCGGGAGAAATTTCTCCCGGGATTGCCTTCCGACCGCGCCTGGGAAGCGATCCCATGGGAGGAGCGGCCCCGGCACCGCCGGAGCAGGGAGCAAAAGAGGATGGGGAGGGAGCGGGGGTGCAAGAGCTGAGCCTGGGGACCCCCCCATTGCCCATCAGCAGGGGCAGCAGCAGCCGGTGGCACCCCCAAGGAGATGCCACCAGAGCCTGTCCCAGCCAAGTGACACATCCCCTGTCTCTCTGTCAGCCACGGCTTCCAGCTCCCCTCAGCACCGAGCTGAGCCTCAGCCGGCCCCTAATGACAGTGGGACCCTCACTGGCTTGGGAAGCACCACTCGGGGCTGCTTACAAGGGTGGGGGTGACAGGGAGCTCCAACACAGGGGTTCTGCGGGACACCACCAGGGTTACCCCAGTGAATATGTGAGGTACAAGTCTGGTCCTGGCAAAACGGGGTTTAAACGGCTCAGAAAGTTCAGACACCCCTGGAGAAGAGAAGGCTCCTGAAGGGGAGACCTGAGAGCAGCTCCAGTGCCTAAAGGGGCTGCAGGAAAGCTGGAGAGGGGCTTGGGACAAGGGCCTGTAGGGACAGGCCAAGGGGAATGGCTTGAACCTGCCCGAGGGGAGACTGAGCTGAGCTCTTAGGCAGAAGCTCTTCCCTGTGAGGGTGCTGAGGCGCTGGCACAGGGTGCCCAGAGAAGCTGTGGCTGCCCCATCCCTGGCAGTGCTCAAGGCCAGGTTGGACACAGGGGCTTGGAGCAAGCTGCTCCAGTGGAAGGGGTCCCTGCCCGTGGCAGGGGTTGGAGCTGGGTGAGCTGAAACCAGCCTGTTCCAGCATTCGCAAACACAGCTTTTCTGTGTGACCTGGTGCCTGATGGAAACTCAACCTCCACCTCTCACCCTGCATCACCGTATTTAGGATCACTCAAGGCAGCCACACACGTTTCTCAGGACCTCATTCTGCTCACAGGCAGGGACAGCAAAACCCACATCATTTTCCTATTTAAAAAAATAAACCTTCCCCCCCCCCCCCATTTAAAATTTTGCCATTTTTCCCATTAAAAAAATAATAAATCTTTCCTGTTAAAAATTCCTATCTTTCTTCCATTAAAAAGAAAAATAAACCTGAAACAAACAAATCTACTAATTCTCCCCCATTAAACAAATAAATCTCATTTTCCCCATTAAAACACTCCCAAAGCCGAGCACCTCTGAGGGTCTGGATGCACCAGTGGGGAAACGAGACTCAACCCCACATCAGAGCCCCCAGCCTTGAGTGTCCCAACCCAAAGCGTCCCCAGCTGCAGCCCTCGCCCATCACAGCACCGAGATGCCCCCACGGGCTGGGATTACTCAACAGATGGTGGGTTAATCCCTGCCGGAGCCCCTGTGTCCTGTCCCAACTCCCAGCACCTTCTGCACGGGCACAGGGCCGTGGGATGGTGCCTGTGGCAAATCCCTTTGTAATCCCAGAGCGAGCACAATGAGATTAACGTGGCTTCATTGCCCCCCCCCCCCCCGAACACCCCAAGGAGAGGGGCTGGCACAGTGACAGGATGCCCTGGTGATGGGCATGCACACACCATGTCCAAATCCCTCTGGACACACCAAATTAACACCTATTCTTATCACGGCGCTGCTGTAGCCATCCCGCATCCCAGTGATGCTGCTTTCCATGACACTCCTCAGCCAGGCTTGTCCTTCTTAAGCAAGCAGGAAGAGCTGTAACTTCCCTGCAGACACCTTCCCAAGCTGGCAATGGGTAAATAAGTTGTCACCAAACTCCTCCATTTCACAGCACCCCCCCACTGTGGCCCCATAACCCATGGTAGCACAGATGGGGACCCCTGGATTACTGCTAATCCCAGCACGGCTCCAGCTTGCTCAGCTCTGTGGGATGTCTCGACCTTATGAAATAATTCCTGCCATGGGGCAAGAGCGAAACTCAGCTTCCTGAGGGTCAAATGAGCCCTGATCCAGCTCTGGGGCAGCAGCACAAGAGGGACGTGGAGCTGTTGGAGCGAGTGCAGAGGAGGCCATGGAGATGCTGCGAGGGCTGGAGCAGCTCTGCTCTGGAGCCAGGCTGAGAGAGCTGGGCTGGGGCAGCCTGGAGAAGAGAAGGCTCCTGAAGGGGAGACCTGAGAGCAGCTCCAGTGCCTAAAGGGGCTGCAGGAAACCCAGAGAGGGGCTTGGGACAAGGGATGTAGGAGTTGAACACATCCCTGGCAGTGCTCCAGGCCAGGTTGGACACAGGGGCTTGGAGCAAGCTGCTCCAGTGGAAGGGGTCCCTGACCGTGGCAGGGGTTGGAAATGGAGGAGCTTTAAGGTCCTTTCCAACCCAAACCAGGCTGGGATTCTGTGACACCATGAACCTGCTCCCTGCACTGGCTCTTCCCATAGGCGGGAGGCACAAGGAAAGCCTTGCTACTGGTACCCCAGCAGGGCAGCGTGCCAACGAGCCCATTCATTCCAAGGCAAAAATTGCTACTTGTGGATTTCTCTACGGTTCCCAACCGCAGGAGCTGACCCCCGGCCATTTCCCAGCTAAAGCACCGGCAATCCCAGGCAGCTCCTGAAGGGTACGCGCTCGGAGGCTGCAGCAAGCATCAACAGCCGAGTCAATGGCATTAACAAAATGAAAGGCAGAAAGTGAGTCACTGAGCACATTACTCACATCCCAGCAGAGTCATGCTTGAGGTACATGTGACAGGCGCCGGGAGGAGCCCGGCTCGGCCCCGGCCAGGACAGGGTGCCCCCGGGATGCAGCACGGACAGGGATTTGCTATATAAGGCTCCAATCCCTCGTCCCCACGCAGGATCCGGCCCTGGCAAATCCCCCAGCATTAGCAGCAGTAATGGGCAGCCGGTGCCTTGTTTACATCCACCTCTGTGGCTCCACAGCCCCTTTGTTAAACCATAATTAAAGCTTCACTAAAATAAGCTCATCCTTCATCTGGTGCTGGTGGGAACGCGGTGGAGGAGGCCAGACCCTCAGCATCCCCATTACTGATCGCTCCCGACACCACACAGTGCTGGGGATTCCTCCCCATCACTGCAAAATAGACTTTCCAACAGAGTTCAGCTATCTGCCTCTAGAAAATCGGGTTATGCCATGGAGGGCACTGGAGGTTTTAAACCCTGGGATGCAGGACTCACTGTGAACATTGATGGTGGTGGTGTGCCATAGGACAGCTGGAGACAAACCCAAAGCCTTGCACAAGCTGCCTTCTGGGCTCTGATAAAGTGACATACTTACAAAGATACCTTGCCCAAAATGCTTCTCCCGACTAGGGAAGGGGGCTCTGAGATGCAGGGCTCAACCAGGAGCTTCTCACTCAGGTCTCCTGCATGGAGCCAGATCAGTCACATCTCCAGCACCAAATACCTCACACAATCTTCTTAGGAATGCTGCAGGCTGTGGAGCTGAACCTGAATATGCTGCAACTTGGGATACCACCAGGCTGGACCATAGAACCATAGAACAGTAGGGTTGGATCACCCCACCTCATGCTTTGCCCAGCCATCACACATGCATTGAGTCCCACGGCAGGAGCAGGGCTGGACCAGCCCCAGGACATCACAGGAATGAGCCCCCAGCTCATCCCTTGACCCTGATCACATGAGCCCATCACCACCCTTCAGGGTGGGAGCAGCAGGGACTAAAGCAGAGGAGCATCTCCCACTGCATCCCTGCGCATCCCGGGCACAGGGCCCCTTTCAGGCCGCAGCTGCTCCTCGCTCCACAATACAGCCCGTTACCTTCTGCTCTATTAGTTTCCTGCTCTATTCATCCCCGGTTTTCCCACGCACAAAGAGCCACCGAGCCCTTTCCATCTCACTGAGCTGCTCCGAGGACTGACACAAGGGATGTGGGACGAGCCAGGTCCCTGGGAGAGAGCCCTCTCCCATGGGACATGGACTTGGAGAGGGCGGAGAGCTGGATGGGTGCCTGCTTTCCCAACAGCGCCAGGGAAAACGTGCTTATCCTGCATTTAAGGGGAGACTCGGTGCACTGGGCTGTCCTCTGGATGGAGGGGAGGGCACAACCTCAGCATGAAGCAGCTCACTGGGGAAGCATCAGGAGCAGAGCACACGCTGCACCTTAGCCCCTTCCTGCCCTTCGCTGCCTCTTGCCTTCACCCACTGGCACGTAAGGAAACAGCCCCAGGGAAACACAACCACGCTGGCCCCAACATGCCCCTGCCGAGTGCTGTGCACCCTGTCAAACACCCCCAAAGCAGCCAGCCCCTGCTCAGAACCAGCCCAGCAGCATCCCACAGGACCCCAAACCACCCTTGGTGCGAGCAGCCCCTGTGATCCCAGCCCAAGTCATAACCGGGCTGGAAACCCCCTCATGGGGCCGACCCCCTCCATCCCCAGGCCTGAGCTGGATGCGGGGCACGGAAGGGACCAAGCACCCATGGGGCGGCACCAGGGAGCTCGCTCAGTGCCCCCCAGCACTCCCGTTTTGGCGAGCAGGGCCCCTCCGCTGTGGCAGGGAGGTGCGGGCAGAGCAGAGCCGCACCGTGCGCGCCCAAGGGCTGAATTAGCGCTGCCGGAGCCGGCTCTGCCCTGTTTAACCACTACCCTGCAAGCAGAGGTACTCAGGCTGCACCCCGGGGCGCTGGGCACGGGGGGAGCCCCACGCACCCCCTGCCCCGTGCCACCGCACGGCGACCGGCAGCAACCGAAACCCACCTCCGCCGC